AATAATAATAATAATAATAATAATAATAATAATAATAATAATAATTCATATCTTATGGTCAAATTAAAGGATGCGTCGTTCATAGCGGACGCGGTACTTTCATCTAAATACAAAGGCTCCTAAACTCTTCAAATCCTGCCGTTTCTCGGGCTACAGCTGGAGGAAGTTTACATTACGAATTGCTGTCACGCGGTACTACGCAAGGAAAAACATCGATGTTGCTCCCAGCAGCGTCTGCGAGACGCAGGCGTCCCCGCCTTCCGCTGCAGACGGTCATGTGACTTCCTCGCAGTCTCGTGACCCACGTGGTTCGGGGGCGAGCGCGTGCTTTCGGCGTCATTATGAAATTAAATCAATCAGCCTCCTTGAGCGCGAGGCGCGACCTACGTACGGCCTTCGTATGACGACACAGCGACGCAGTCTTGTCCGGCGCGCAACTGATGCGCCAGATCGCTCATCGGGGCTGCGGTAGACAACTGGCCGCTTTAAATTGCTGGATATGCAATATCCACTTTCCAATTTACGAACCTCCATTGCACAGATATTGTAGCGAACGAGAATGACACATCAATTGCAATTTTGTGACAGATTTGTTATTTTTCGCTCTAAATGGTTTAGATGCACTATTTAAAAAACACTGTACACGTGAAATTATCTTAATTTAGGTAAGTGTGGTCCCCTTCACTTACTTCTCCGTTATGTGTTTGCTATGAACATGAATGCAAGTTTTGATTGGTGATCATTATTTTGATCGGTGCGGAGAGACTTTTCTGGTACACTGTACAATCGACTGTCCAACTTTTTAACTTTTCATAGGTTTAAAGCTTCATGTACTAAATCATATGGCGCAAGTAACATTTTTATTAACATTTCTTCATCTTTTCATAATTGATTTTGATAATTCATAATTTCATCATTCATAATTGATTTCATATGGTAATTCAAAACGTCCCACACGCCTTCTTTCATTAAGTTTTTCAAATCTCGAAAGAGGGCCAAAATTAGCGCAACTTCAATGGAATTTCCTAAAGAGGCCTTAATTTTTTTTCTCGAGAACTTTTATCTACGAAAGAGAATTTCTATTTTGTATTATATTTCCATTAATTCAATTCTCCTAAACTATTGTGGGCCCCAAAAATAAGGAAAGTGAAAATAAGTAGACAAGTTTTCATAAACCATTGTATTTACAAATATCAATATTGCAGGGGGAAATTGAATCATGTTAAATTACAAGTTCTCTAAATATTACATTTTAATTTTTTGTTGAATTTGTGAATTTAGAAAATTATTCTATTCATAAATGTAAAGGCGAAAAATTGAAGCTGAAGAATCTTAAACAGCATTATTGCCAAAGTAACGGTTTCTCTTGAATCTCATTCATGAAATTTTCTAAATAGATTCTGAGCTGCGTAGTACATTTATTGGTCAGACATGCAGCAAATTGGTCAATATTAGTAGTCATGTGATAAATTTAGTAAACTAGTTGGAAGGTCATAGAGTGCGCGGTTTCAAGCAGTCTGATCAAGAGGGTTTTGCAGCTGGTAGCTGATATACTGGACGGATATTATTTAAAATGTAGTTATTATGATTTTGTGTTGCCGTTAAAAAAAATACGAGAAAATCTGTCCCATTTTGTATCATCTCTGCTTATTGGTGATAACGCGCTAACTGTCCGGTACTGCCTCACGACTCCTTGCAAACTTCAACGGCAAAGCTGGCGAAAGTCAGCTATCGCAATCTGGTGACTGTGATTTTTACATTTTTATCAATATAGGTTTTTGAAGACGTATTTTTAGCTAGCTAGAGGAAAACTGTTAGTTGTTGGTAATTTGAGTAATATTCCATATTCCAGACAAAGTTTTGTGTTGGATCATTATATGTGACATGGAATTTTTTGTAATGTTTGTGTTGTAACAGAGTATGACGTGACCATAATGATGGCAGGGTGACAAAAAAAAGACAGATGAATCATACTACGTATTCCGAGAGCAGGGAAATGTATGACATGTGACATCCTGTCGTCAGAGGAAGTGTGGACGATGATGGGAGTAACTCCATGTAGACGGGTCATATAGAAAGAAAACTAAAACACCTCACATCCTTTGACACACCAATCTACATATCGGTCATTTGACCGCAGACCGTCTAACTTGAAGGTCTAGAATGCTAATTAGTCAAAATTAAGATACTAATTAACAACTCTTAATTAATCTATAAAGTTTATAAATGTTAAATGACGCATCATAGGAATGGCACTAAGTTTGAGGAATATGGAATTGAAAATTTAATTTAAACCCGGAATGAATAGAACTATTACAGAATTGGATATCGAGTAAGGGGAGATAAAGAGAACAATGTTTAATGATTATTATACGTAAAGTAGTATTGTGTT